AAGAGAGATAGCTCAGTTCTTCAGAGCACTCACTGTTGTTTCAAAGAAACCAGAGATTGAGCTCCAAGCACTCACATCTGGCAGATCACAGGTGTCCATAACTCCATCTCAAGGAGATCTGATGTCCTCTTCTGGCCCTTAGGGGAACCCCCACACATATGGCATACATTCACACAGATGTACACACACATACACACACACACACACACACACACACACACACACACACACATGAAAATATAAATATAAAAAATAAGAACAAGAATTAAAGATATGCTAATTTTAGAATATGATAGACATGGGAGAGATGTGGGTGACTCACAGTTTTAATCACTTGGTAGGCAGAGGCAAGCAGATCTCTGTAAGCCAAGGACTAACCTGATCTATGTGTTGAGTTCCAGACCAATCAGAGTTACATAATGAGACCATTTCAATGAAAAGAAGGAAGAGAGAAAAGTAGCAGCAAAAGAGGAAAGGAGGGAAGAAGGAAGGCAAATATTAAAAATATTTTATTTGAAAACACTTTTTAGCTAGACATTGTGACATACACCTTTAATTCCAGTACTCAGGAGGCAGAAGCAGAAGGATCTCTGACTTCAAGGCCAGTCTGATCTACAAAGTGAGTTCCAGGACAGCCAGGAAACCAGGACTCAGAAACCAAAGAAGGAGGAGGAAGAGGAAAAGAAGGAAGGAAAGAAGGAAGGAAGGGAGGAAAGAAGGAAGGAAGGAAGGAAGGAAGGAAGAAAGAAAGAAAGGAAGGAAGGAAGAAAGAAAGAAAGAAAGAAAGAAGGGGGAGGGAGGAGGAAGAAAGAAATAAGAAATAAAAATATTTTTGCAGTTCACAAAAGCATTCCTGGCTGTGGAAGCTGCACCTCTTGTCCTGATCAGTTAGTTCAGTTGGTTAGAGCATGATGCTAACAATGCTGATTTCACATTTGATATCAGTATGAGCGAGTTATTGGTGGTTGATTCATTCCTCCAAGAAGAAGCTCCACTAGAACACTTTCTGGTTGGTGGGTCTCAAAAGAACTTCAAAAAATGTCCATGGTATCCCTATACTTTCCTTCATCCAACCCACAAAGTCTGTGTTGTGGAGAAATGACTCTGTAGTTAAGAAAGCTGAATGCTTTTGCAGAGGGCTGAGTTCAAGTATCAGCATCACATGGCAGCTTACAACAATCTGCAACTACAGTTCCAAAGGATCTGATGTCTTCTCTTGTCCTCCATGAGTTCTGGTATTTATGTGGTACACATAAACACATACATAAACACATGCATACATACATACATACATACATACATACATATTGTGTGTGTATCTGTGTGTGTGTGTGTGTGTGTGTGTGTGTGAGAGAGAGAGAGAGAGAGAGAGAGAGAGATGAGATTTTTTTAGGGACTGGAGAGATGGATCAGCAGTTAAGAGTACATACTGCTCTTTCAAAGACCCAAGTTCAGATCTCAACAGACAGGTGGCCTACAATTTTCTCTAACTCCAACTCCAGAGGACCTGTCACCCCCTTCTGGACTCTGTGGGCACTGTACGCATGTGTAAATATCCACACAGACACATACACATACACACAGTTTTCTCGAGTAGAAAAAAAACCTCCTTTTAAAATGTACTCTTGTATGTAACAATTATGTTTACTTAAACCATTTAGAAGGCTGGTTCCACACATCCCTGAAGTTGTAGTTAAGAGGAGAATATTGGATGCTTATCAGATAGATAGATAGATAGATAGATAGATAGATAGATAGATAGATAGATAGATAGAAAATCACCCAGGGGAATTTGGCTGTGGGTTTTTGTACACATTGCCTTGCTGAAAATGTCTATCTAAGATGTTGGTTTCATACTTCCACAATTGTTCTTAAATGAGTTAAAATTATACCCTGCATCTACTTTTTCATCACTTGCAATACACTAACTGAAAAGAGTCTTTACATCCTGAAAATGCTGAGGGGTTTTATTTCATCTTCAATTTAAGGGAAAAAAATTTAGTGGTTCACGTTTTCTAAATTTTCATAAAATATTTATGCCTCATCCAGCCAAACAATTTAGAGAAATTGCATTTGATAGGCATTAGACCATAAATTTTATCCTGAAGAAATGTTTTAATGTGTTTCTAAAGTAGCATATGCCTATCAAGTTTACATTTTTACTAATCACCTGTATAGACAATAAAATATTTTCTAATTCTTCTATATGACATAAGAAGCAAAGAGCATTTTGCTAATTCCTTCAGGTGTAGAGAAGGCATTGTACTTTCTGCAGATGAAAGTGGGGTCAACTGCAAGAAGTGAGGAATTCCCACTTTGGTGATTGACACCATGTTAGAAGATTTTATTGGTCTGTTTTATTGTACATTTTCCTAAGCCAATAACACTTGTCTTCCTATCATACACTTGTATAATGCCTTATGTGTTTCTTAACTTTCTCTCACAGATTTATTCATATCATCCTAGACAGACTGTAAAGCCATTAAAAGAAATTGACACTTTTTGTATAATTGGTATACACCCCATAACAGCTAGAAAAACTGAAGGAAACCCTCAAAAATCAACTTAGGAAATGTGCATTTGTAAAACGGCAAAAGGTTAAGTTCCTTACTGAGTATATAATTTCAAGATTGTTCTTCTACTTAAAAACTTTTTGTTGTTTGTGTTCTTCCAGGTGGAAATGTTAAGAATCAGGGGGAAAACACCATCACTTTCCTTGCTTTGACAACTATAGAACCTCAGATGAGGTATCATTAGAGTGTGTAGAAGAAAGGCAAAATAATTAGAGGAAAATAACTTGGCTGCTTGACGGTGACCAGCAAAGAGAGATTTAAACATACTAATGTAAACATGTAACTATAAATAATAAGTATTGATATCAAATGTAGATTAAAATAGATGAGAGGTAGATAAGAGGTAGGTGGATACTAGAGATAGATGATAGATAGATAGATAGATAGATAGATAGATAGATAGATAGTTACATAGATAGATACATAGATAGATTGATGATAGACAGAGGACAGATGGATAAGTAGATGATTGATAGATAGAGAGATAGATAGATAGATAAGTAGATAGGTAGATAGATGGATAAGTAGATGATAGAGAGATGAATAGAAGATGGATAGATGAATAGATGATAGGTAGATAAATAGATGATAGACAGATGATTGACAAATTATAGATATGCTTAAAGTAAGAGCTGTTCGCACAGAAGGGAATAACTATTACTTGAAGTAATAAGAAGAATATATAACAAAATATTTGTTTCATTCTTGTAGTCCTTTATTAATTCAGTCTTTGTCTAAAACATTCCAGGCACTGTTAGGTTTTGAGAGTATCAGGTAAGGCTGAAAGTCACAGTCTTTACTGACAGACAACTCATACTCAAGATGGGGAACCTATGAAAAAGCCAGCTGATTACAACATGGTCTAGAGATGAGTGTTGCCTTAACAGTTTAATGATAGATGCTGTTTGTCCTTCCATGGTTTAGATTATAAAAAAGTCACATTTGCTGTAACTTTACCCTGAATACCTCCCTTAACAGTACAAAACAAGGAAATAGAGATGCCTACATTTCACTTTTTTCCGTGTCAAATAAACAGAAACATATATTGTTGACGATATAAAAAACAATGTCTAAAAAATACATTTTAATTAGAGCAGTTAAATACTAGCAGGCAATAACCACTACTTACTTAGTTTAAAATCCAATCCTTAATTGAGAAAAAAGAGTAAAAGATAATCCAAACACCTAGTTTAAGTAAATACCTCATTAAGCTTTGGTGTTATTGGTTCATTATTACTATTCATTTTGGCCTTCATTTGAATGCTTCCCATGGAATTAACTGAACCATAATACCGAGTTGTGTGGTATTTTGTTTCCCACTCTTATACACAGCTTCAACTTGCTTAACAATAATGATAATTTTTTAAAAGCAATGCTCACAGGCAACTGTTTCCACCCTACTGTTTCTCTACAGAAAAGATTATGACCACTTCTCCTCAATTCAATTTGCATCAATAAACACACATCTAATGACCACCAGGAGCTTTCCAGATACAAAGGTAAGCAAATCACAGTCCATTTCTTCAATGAGTTAATAATGTGTAACTGATTCCAAGAAGTTTGAAAAGAGCAGCAACTGACAGGTCACAGAAAATTATCATCATGTGCCCAAATTGGCTTCAAAATTATCTGTGTGCTAAAGATGCTTCATTAAGTTACTCATTTTCTCCAATTCCAGCACCTCGGCCAGAGCGGGGAGATCAGTTCTTTGATTGCAGTATATTGTACATGGCTCACAGAAGGGCCAAAAACATGCTTTTTACACTGACAAAGAATTCATCTCACTTAACCATCAAGTAAACTTTCTTTAGCTTCTTCTATCAAGGGATATGCAGTCACTGCAAAAACATCAACCCACTTTATCACAACCTGCCACTTTCCTACATTCTGTCTTAGAAAGCCAACAGAATACAGCTTTGTATACACTTCTTAATGGTGTGTATGCATTTGATATATGTGATTTTATATATTATTCATAGACATATCATATGCATATATATATATACATATATATACAACTCTATAACTTCAAACATAGTTCCATATATTAGTCTCCATCTTAAAGAGAGAAGGATCCAGAAATACCAATCATCAGACCAAATGAAATACTTTTGACTGGCTTCAGTGACACTATAAAAGCACCCTGTAATGTTATAACAGTTTTAGACAAGCCTTACTTCTTGAGTTTCCATACTGTTTAATGACTTTATAGGATTTTTTTCACCTTCTGTGGAATTTACTCTTAGTATTTTCATAAACTAGTTGTGAATATTTTCCCTTGAGAAATGGTATCAAAGTCACCCTGAAGGTTCTATGGTTGCTTTATTTTTAAAAACAACTGATTAAAAAGCTTCAAAGTAACTGTGCTTCTACTCCCAGCACACACACTAAAGCCCATATATTTTACTTAAAAAAAGAAAAACATACCCAGATGCTGTCTTCTTGTCTGTATTGTTTCCAGTTCCTTCCGCTGTCACTGAACATCAGGAGATAGCTGGTCACCCAGTTGGAGCTCCCATATCCACCTTGGGTGGCCACAGACGTGACCTCCATCCTCTCTCCAAGGTCAATCTGCAGCCACTGGTATTTGTTGGACACTAGTGGAGACCAACCACCAGCTCCTTTTGCAAAAACAGAAGAACATTGGAGAGAATACATTAAAATTCCATGAATGGAGTAGAAATACTGGTAGACTGTATATAATTCAGAAATATTTCCAGGATATGGAAAGCCTCACAATTATATTAAAGTATAGGAAAGCAGAAAGGCAGTAGACAAGGCTAGACCTGTGTTGGTTGTATTCATTTAGAATCATTAGAGTTTCCCAGAACTTGAGAGAAATTAGGATGTCTCACTGAATATTTTTAAATGTTTTGTGTGGAAGCTCATGCCAACATTTGGTGTCAGAGTGCTTACTGCCCATAGGGATGGCTGGGTAATTGTATGTGGCCTTTGATCTGTCTCTTCCCAGAGAGAAAATACAAAGGAGAAAGTTTTGGTGTTGGCAGGGCTAACAAATCAAGTGTTAGTTGCCTTGGTACATTGTTAATCGATAGATAACAAAGACAGTCAAGGTGTTAGAGTCTCATGAAATGTGCAGACATTGAAAAGCATGCTTGAAACACAATCCAAAAAATTATTAATGGTAAGACACTGTGCAGGAAGCCATAGCATAAGAAAGATGGAGTATTATATACAGTGAGAAATGTTGGTGCCAGTAAGTAGGGCTGATGCATTCTGACCCAGATGGTTAGAACCCAATAAGAGAATTGACTGGGGCATAATCACAAACAATTTCTCTAAGCAAACTGACTGGTCATTTATCAAGTCCTCGAAACGAACTCAAAATAGCATTTAAAGGAATTAAAGCAATGTCCCCTATTTGTGATATCCTAATAATTCTTGCTTGCCTTAGGGTGTGATGCCCAATATTTACTACACTACATTGCCTTTAGAGTAGGAAATTTGAGGATTGGGAAGGCAGCTCATCAAAGGACAAAGCTTAGATATCAACACCAACCTATGCTGTAGTTCTAGCTCCAGGGGATATGATGCCCCCTTCTGGCCTCTCTAGGCACTGTACTCATGTTCTCAACTCCCTGCCACACACACATACTTAAAAGATAATTTTTAATATGTAAAAATAATAGATACTTTTTCAAAATTCCTTCCTTTCTTTCTTTCTTTGATTGGCAAACCATTATGCAGAATGGTATTCGACACCATAAACTGGAAGTTCACTGTCATCCTTTAAAAGATCCAGGATATAATATAGCATGTGACTTTTTTTTGTTGTTGTTGGCATAGTTTTATTTTTTAATTTTCTCTGTAGTTAGTCTTAAATAACACATGCGACTCAGAGGTTGGGGGAGGCTGGGGAGATGGCTCACTAGTTAAACCACTTGTCATACAAAGCTGAGGACAGGAATGATAGCCGAGTTCTGTAACTCCAGTGCTTTGAAGGCACGGACACGAGAAGGCTTAGAAGCTTGCAGGCCAACTAGCCTGGCACATGTATCTCTGAACATGAGACCTTGTCTCAAGCAAGGTGGAAGGTGAGGACCAAAGTGAAGTTGTCCTCTGATCTCCAGATATACTGTGGCACATGCATACACCACCACAGATGTACGTCAACACACACACACACACACACACACACTTAGCTAACATTTTATAAGTGTGACTTGAGAGTGGAGTTACATTGGCCCCTAATCCAAGCAACCTTGTTTAGATTAGAGTAGAATGCTGTCCATACTTACGCAAGAGAGCTTGAGAGATAGACATGTATATGTTGAAATTGGGCTGGCCAAGTGCTGTATGTTTGACACTGCCATCTGCTGTCCACAGGAGGCGCTCCTACTCTCATAGCCTCTCTTCTACACAGGAATTGTTCCTGGAAGACCTACAGCACACACTCTCTAGAATTCTGCCACAGACATCTCAGTGGGTCCTTGAACCCTCCATGGGAACTGCTCCCCTTACATTATTTTAATATCCAAACCAGCATTTTATTCACACTTTATTCCCTGAGATCCAATGGGGAGGCAATGCTGTAAACAGAGATGTATGGCTACCTCTCCCTCTTCACTGTCAGATAAGACAGTAAGAATCTATAGTTCCTAGGAAACATGGGGTGGGGGAGAACCAAGATCAGAAATCCTTAGCTATCAGACTGCAGCATCAACTTCCCTCCTTTCTTATAATGGGCCATACTTTTGAAATACAGGTACATAATAGGAACAGTGAATGAGTAACTACTGCCATCCACTGCACTGTCTAATCTCTTTTCCTAATCAGGGCCTATCAAAAGCTTGGAAGCTGAAAGTCATTGTAGAGCTGGATTTAACCAACCATCTGGGGTCCTCCCATTGCTGTAATTGCAACTAATTCTGAACTTTTATCATTTCTTACAGTGGAAACTTAGAAAAGATGGATACCCACAGGCAGCTGCCATCTTAGTTTGGAAGTTCTGCATGCAGAATTTTATCTGTATTAGCTTATACCTCCAAGAAAATACTGATAATTTTGCTTCTTATTCTTCCTAGTTAATTTCAATGATCTGAAATTGGTAATGAGGTTATGTTGGGAGTTTTTAAAATCAGGAATATCAAAGTACTTCTGCAGCATTCCAGGACATCCTTATGATCCTGTATTTAAAAAGCAAATGTGGGAGATGCACAGCAAGGCAAATGTGTCAGTGTGACCCAAGTGGGTTAAAATTGGATCATCAATTCTCATCAGGAGTGAGAGGAACCCCTGAATGACCGCTCCCCTTTCCCAGCATCACTCACAGCTACAGCCCCACAAGCCGACTTGAAACATTGGCAGTTAATTGACCTTGAACATTTCAATTTCTTACCTGTGGTGAAAAGGTACTACTGGTATGCAAATTAAGCTATCTCATTAACAAGGTACACTGATAAAGTAATGGAAACTCTGATGCTCCCAGGCTTTACCAAGTAATTTCGGTAGGATAAGTCAGCCACAGGGGATGGGAAGATTCCCGTTGGGTTTTTAAGCTGTGAGGCTCTGCAGTGTGTGATGGAGTGTGCTTGTTAAAACTTTAAGAAAAATGTTGAGCAGCAATTGAGAAAATGTAAGATAGAAATGGATCCATCATTAGCTGATCTTGGCAGCCTTGGATGGCAGGAAGGGACAGTGGTGGCATGAGATACAAATGGCAACACAGCTGAGGGTCACACTGCACCAGCCCTCTGGTCATTGCCCATTTATCTAACCTCCTGGAGATAGACCATCAGCACAGCTACTTTTTGTAATGGAGAACGTGATGGCTAACTCCAGAAAATTGAAAATTGTGAATTACTATAAACAAAACACTATAATGCATTCTTTATTTTGTTTATTAACTAAACCTTTCAGCTGCTAGTCAAGTGTTATTTGTCCTTAATGTGCTTTTAATATGCTAATATATTCAGCATCACAGTAAGCCAATACCTATGAATCTGAAGACCATCTTTTCCTAACTCCATCTATTCTGTGGTTACTGATCATAAGCATGCAAAAAGTCCGGTCCCTCAATTTCACTCTGTTTCCATCGCAGGCTTCCTTCTCCAACCCCATCCACTTGTTTCTCCACCCGTAGCCCTGCTTCTGAGATTTAGCATAATAAAGTTCTGTATATGCTTCAAATAGAAGCATTTGTCTTTCATTCCTTTTTAAAAATATTTACTTATTATTTTATGTGTATATATGTGCCTGGATGTATGTCTGTGCATCACATAGGTATAGGTGACCATGGAGGTTAAAAACAATGGCATCAGATTCCCTAGAAATAGTGTTACAGGCAGTTGGGAGCCACCAGATGTGGGCACTGGATGCACACCTGGGTTTCTGCAAGAACAACAATCTTAATCACTGAACCATCTCTGAAGCGCCTAGAAACATTTATGAACTCTTCATGTTACAGCTTGAAAACTCATATTTTAAGGTCAGCCCCCACTTAATAGAATTCCTAAATATCATAGTATTGCCATGAGAATTCATTTTTTTTTTAAAGCAGATGAAGTGCCTATTGATTTCCCCACATTCAGAAATTGTGACAGTATATGCTGGCTATAACTTTCTGAGTTGTGAAACTATTGTTATTGTTATTGACTCCAAGCAAAGAGTTGTTGTCACAGTAAAGCTCAGCTTTAAAAGTGTTTACTGACCTCACAAATCTATGGGTATGAGTATAAATATGCAGAAGGCAGTTTGCTCTCAATCTTGGCCTTCTTTTTGCAGTGGGTAGACAGACACTTATAACTGTTTTACGTGCTGAGAATAAACTACTGTGCAGGCTCAGCTGTAGACAGGGTATCTATATGAACCCCCACTCTCAGTGCTTCGGAAACTCTGTGGGAAATGGGGCAGAAATAATACAAGAGCTGGAAGATGTGGCAAGTGTTGTAAAATGCTGTCTTCTGAACATGGCATGGCTGTTGCACATACGAACTCATGGCAACTGTGATTCTCTGAATAAGACCTTCACAACAACAAACCAGTTAAAAGTTCCAGCATGGGTTGGGGAGAAAAGTGTTTATTTGACTTATTGCTGTTCATTATTGAAGGAAATCAAGGCAAGAACTCAGAAACAGGGTAGGAACTTAGAGACAGTAGATGATGCAGAAGTCATGAAGGATGCTGCTTACTTGTTTATTCAGCCTGCTTTTATAGAGCACGGGACCACCAGCAGTGGAATGGCATAAGCTACCATGGGTCCTCTCCCATTGATCACTAATTGAGAAAATGCCTTACAGCTGGATCTCATGGAAGCATTTCCTCAAATGAGGCTCCTTCCTCTTTAATGACACACAAAACCACCCAGTACTGGGTGAAGGGGAGTAACTTTTGTTTTGGAGTATGGCCATTGGTAGGTTCCCTATGACTTAATGGACAGACTTACATCCATGTTGAAAGGGACAATACTAACAGCACTTGTGATTTTATGGGAAGGGAATTATAATAACTGAGATATACCCAGTGTATATTCTATAAGCTCTAAAACAGAATTTTCATATACAGAATTTGCAAGTATGTTATGCTTCATTATCAAATTTGCCTAGTGAACTATATTTTCACATTTCTTCAAATACAAATTGAAAAATACTATAAAAGATAA